AAAATTTATTAAATCCTTAAAAAAAAACCACAACACTATCAGGGTATCCAGATCCAGCAAAACAAGAGGTGCACCTGCGTGTGCGACCTCCTGGAACTACACTTCCCAGCACGCTCTCCGCAAGGCAGGGGGCCCTTGAGCGAATCTGCTGCAGGCTCCCCAGTGCCTTTCCCTGGTAGTGAGAATCGCAAACGTACCTTACTCTTGTGGTTTAAGTGAAAAGGAGAAAGGAAAAGAAAACAATCTCTTTTGCCATAAGCAAATACGGATCCAAAGGGATGCAAATTCTTCCTTAAAATTTTCCCCTTACACAAAGGTAACGCCTATTCGTTGTATCAGCGTATCAATAGACGATTTATAAGTAACCTTTTATAAATAACAGATAAGCAAGAGGACGGGGAAAAATCCAAACTAAATGGAATTCCATAACAGAGAGAATAACAATGGACGCCATGGTGTGTGTGTGTGTGTGTGTGTGTGTGTGTGTGTGTAATTCTAAAAATAAATCTGATAGTCCCATTCCTCATCATGAATACCGGTGTGTGTAAAGAGAAGGCAGGAGGTGAAATATCGAATAAGATCATAGTTTGGGAATAAATATTTTTTCTAGAGCTTTTATTTTCTGTTAGTAATTTAACTTTTCACTTTAATGCTACTAAAAGAGTGCTTTGATGAGTCCTTGTAGATTAATTTGTGCCCTCCTCCACAACTGTTCTTGAGAATAAAGCCCAACAAATGAAATTAATTAAACGGGAATGTACATATCTAACTTTTAAAAATATATTTTATTAATTATGCTATTACAGTTGTTTTATTTCCCTCACCATTCCCCCCCTTTAGTTTATGACCACGTGTCTCAAGTTCTTTAGATTCTATATTTCCCATGCTATTCTTGCCCTCCCCCCATCTATTTTCTATCTACTGTCTATGCTACTTATTTTCTGTACCTTCTCCCCCCTTCTTCTTCTCCCACTCCCCTGTTGCTAACCCTCCATGGGATCTTCATTTCTATGGTTCTGCTCCTGATCTAGCTGTCCTCTTAGTTTGCTTTTGTTTTAGGTGTGGTTCTTAATAACTGTGAATTTGCTGTCCTTTCACCCTTCATCTTTTTTATCTTGATTTTCTTAGGCAAGCCCCTTTAACATTTCATATAATAAGGGCTTGGTGATGATGAACTTCTTGAATTTGATCTTATCTGAAAAGCACTTTATCTGTCCTTCCATTCTAAATGAAAGCTTTGCTGGATAAAGTAATCTTGGTTGTAGGTCTTTGGATTTCATGACTTGGAATACCTCTTTCCAGCCCCTTCTTGCCTGTAAGGTCTCTTTTGAGAAGTCAGCTGACGGTCTGATGGGAACTCCTTTGTAGGTGACTGTCCCCTTAGCTCTTGCTGCTTCTAGGATTCTCTCCTTCATTTTAATCTTGGCTAATGTAATTATGATGTGCCTTGGTGTGTTCCTTCTTGGGTCCAACTTCTTTGGGACTCTCTGAGTTTCCTGGATTTCCTGGAAGTCTATTTCCTTTGCCAGATTGGGGAAATTCTCCTTTATTATTTGTTCAAATAAGTTTTCCACTGGTGGCTGTTCATTTCCCCCTTCTGGTACCCCTATAATTCGGATGTTGGAGCATTTAAAGATGTCCTGGAGGTTCCTAAGTCTCTTCTCATTTTTTTGAATTCTTATTTCTTCATATTTTCCTGTTTGGCCATTATTTTCTTCCTTCTGGTTCACTCCCTTGATTTGAGTCCCAGTTTCCTCTTCATCACTATTGGTTTCCTATATAATTCCCTTCATTTCAATTAGTTTAGCCTTCATATGTTCCTCTAATTTGTGACTATAATCAACCAGTTCTGTGAGCATCCTGATGACCAGTGTTTTGAACTCTGCATCTGAAAGTTTTGCTATTTCTTCATCGATTAGATTTATGGGCTCTAGGGCTTTGAGATCTTCTTGAGCCATTTTTGGTCTGTTCGCGCCCGTTAATTATGAGAAGCGGAGCCTTAGATGTTCACACGGGTGGGGCTGCCCAGGTCGCTGGGTTGTGACGCTGTATGTGGGGGCGGGGTCTGAGCAGGGAAATGGCGGCCCCCTCTGCTGCCTCTCGCCATTGGGGCCTGCTCGGGTCCCGTTGTCTCACCACCCACTCCCTCACTGGTCTATCTGCGCATGAATGTGGGACCACAGTCAACCCGCCGCCCTGCGCCCTCGCTGGGTACACTGGTCACTCACTGGGTCACTCACTGGGTCCACCCTTGCAACCCCACACCTGGGATCTGTGCGCCTGAGTCTGTCTGACCGAGTTTTCTGTGCAACCTTGCTCCGCCAGCTGTTGGCTTCTCCCCTCTTACCAGCCAGGCTGAAGAATTGGTTGTTATCAGACTTCCGAAAAGTTCAATTTTCTGTGTTCTGGCTGTGTTTTCTGTTGCTAATATTTTGTTGTCTCTCAACTTGGTTGTGTGAGAAGGCACGGCACATCCACCTATGCCTCCATCTTGGCGGAAGTCTCCACATATCTAACTTTTATCTATATGAAGAATATATATGGGCTGCAGAGAGTAGAGAATAAGGATGAGGAAAATTAAAAATGACAAAATTAAAATGAGATTCAAAGCCCACTCTAAGGTTGAAGGGCTGAGTGGAAAAAGACTGAAGAGATTAAGGGAAAAAACCCATACAGACAACTGTATGGTGATTGCTAGAGGGAAAAGTGGTGGAGGGAGGTAAAAGAGGATGAAGGCGAGATAAATGGTGATGGATTTGACTTTGAGTGGTGAATGTACCATGCAACATACAGATGATTAGGGAGTTGCACATTTGAAACCTATATAACTTATCAATGTCACCCCAATAATGCAGTAAAAATAAAAATAGGTTGTTCCTATGCATATGCATAGAAATTATATAATCATATATGCTTAAGCGTGTACTATATATACTTTAAAAATTAAAAGAGGCCCTGGCCAAGTAGCTCAGTTGCATAGAGCCTTGTCCTGATAAGCTCAGGCTGCAGGTTTGCTCTCCAGTCAGGATGCACACTAAAATCAGCCAATGAATGCAATAAATAAATGGAGCAAATAGATGATCATGTCACCGCAAAGGGACTGGGACCAGGCTGGGTCTGCTGCGGCATGGTCTGGAATGCGTGGCTTTCTGACTTCATGCAGGAAAGGTTTCAAGACATGAGTTCAGATGATTTTAAGAGTACGTTTATTTAAGGCAGGCTTGGGATGGAAGAAGCAAGAACACAGCAACAGGAGCGAGCCTGGGTGGAGGTGCTTTTTACCTCACTGAAGTTAGGCAGAAGGAGGGCCCTTGGAGACAGGATCAGCTGCCCTCTGCTCTTCCTGGTTGCAAGTCTCATTGGAAGCCTCAGCGCTTAGGAGAAAACAAAGATGCAAGCCTGAGGAAGGAAGGTGGGGAGGTGCGGGCATGCTCAAGGGAGAGAATGGGTACTAGCATCCTTTGCCTTGAGGGTTTTTATCAGTTTTTTTTTTTAAGATTTTATTTATCTTTAGAGGGGAAGGGAAGGAGAGAGGGAGAGAAATATCGATGTATGGTTGCCTTTCATGCATCCCCTGCTGGGAACTGGCCTACAACTCAGGCATGTGCCCTGACTGGGAATCAATCCTTGATCCTTTGGTTCCCAGTAACTCAATCCACTGAGTTACACCAGCCAGGGCATTTTTTTTTTTATCAATTTTTTAAAGGCAGAAATTTTAGGTAAGATTCCCTCTTTAAAAATGACTGAGTGGAACCCATGAAACCATACAGACCTAGAGTTTTCTTTTAGGGAAGATTTTAAATTATAAATTCAATTCCTTTCATTGTTATCAGGCTATTTTGAGTATTCTCTTCTTTACCCAGTTTTGGTAACTCATGTATTTCAAGGACATTTCCCATTCAATCTAATTAGCAAATTTTTGCAATAAAGTTACTAACTTTCTTTTCATTGACTGTAGGATAGTGGTGTCACCTCCTTTATTCATTAGTAATTGCTGTCCCCTCTTTATTGTGATGTGCCTATCCAAAGATTTGTCAATTGTACTGGTTATTTCAGCGAATCACCTTTTGTTGTCATTGACTTTTCTCTATTGTTTATGTTGCAGTTCCGAGATTGACAAACATTTTCTGTTAAGTATGAGAGAGAGAATATTTTAGGTTTTGTGAACCACTTCTGGTCCCTGTTGCACAGTTTGTTTTACAATCCACTTTTTAAAAATGATTCTAGTTTAGGGACCATACGGAAAAAGGCAACTAGCCAGATTTGGCCTGTAGTCTGACCCGTTCTAACTCAGTGATTTGTGCACTTACATTTATTACTTATATTCTATTATTTTGGGTTTTCTCACTCATATCTTTCTATCTTCATAAGGTGAAAGCTTAGGTAATTGACATTTCCTCTAATAAAATAAGTTAAAACTATACAATTTTCTCTAAGCACCACTCTAATAGCATCCCCAATACATTGATGTACTGTTTTCATTTCAATATTATCTAATTTCTCTCGGGATTCAACCCTATGTAGGCTACCAAATAGAAAAGGTGTTGAAATTCTATTCTCTCCAACTTATCAGAAAAAATTCACAGTTGGATTCCCTCCCATCCTGCCCCCAACGCACTGGCATGACATTTTGACCTGTTATATTCTAAGAATGTCTGAAATAGGATAGAGCTCAGCTGTGAAAAAAAACTTGAAGTTGAAACAAGCATGACACCTAATAATTTAAGTGACCATCAGTATATAAATCTTTAAATAAACATTAGCATCTCAGTGACAGACATGATTAACATTTTAACCATTTAACCTATAAAATAAAGCAACCTAAGGCATATTTTCTACATTATCAGGTAGTTCCATTTGTTTCAACTTTTAACTCTGCCTAAAGACTTTGAAATAAAGACTTCTAAGAGTTTATGTACTGTGTAATGTTTCAAAGCCTGGATAGGAGCCATGGTTTCTTGCACAATCTCTCAAATTCCAGTTGTTTAAAATGAGAACAGGCTGTGCTCGCTTCAGCAGCACAGAGTTAAATTGGAACAGAACAGAGACTACCACGGCCCCTATGCAAGGGTGACACACACATTCACGGAGTGCATTGTACTTTTTTAAAAAATAGAGAATCGTGCTTGACTCATAGTGCTCCAGAAACATCTAACAGTAACACTACTAAAGTAGAATGGAGGAAGTATGAAGTACCCTTTTTAATAGAATACAAGCAAACAGGCTAATATGTTAAACATATTAGGAGGCAGTCAAAAAAAATGTACAGGAACCCCCTGCCTCTTTAATGGTCATAGAATTACTAGCTGTGTGTAGGAAACCATGAAGTAGAAGGTAAACATTTGAAAATAAAGGTACTGAATCTTACAAGAATCTGGGACATGAAATGAAATAGAAGGGGTATAAAGCTTTCTTCTTGCTGAAACTATGCACAGAATTAATGGGATGACAGTGAAGAGGGATAAATGCTAGAAACACAATGAATTCTAATGGCTGACGTTTCTCTGAAAATATTACTTGGTTTCATAAGAGGCCTAACAGGTAAACTGAACCTCAAGGAAAGTCTAAAAAAGTTTGACAAATGATTGTTATGACTGCAAAATTTGCATTATCATATAGTTTCTGAGATGACAACACTGAAGTACAAGACACATGGATGTTTTAGTTTCTGACATGTTTGTTCAAAAAAATCCCATATGTTTACATCCCAGCCCAACATTCATCTTCAAAATGACTAGTAAAAAATGTCTGCAACTCACTTCTTTTATTTAAAATCACTATTTAAAAGTTAAATATTTTTTTAGATCCTTATCAGGCCATTTAAGGAAATTGTTCTATTTTTAATTAAATTAAATAGTCATGATTATTTACTACTTTCAATTTTAAAACATCAAAGTCTAAGAAGTATTTGATCTAAAAAATTTTTAAATCAGGTTCAAAATGATACAGCAGCTTCACCTTCATTCAGGAAAATAGTTTAGCCCTGGCTAGTGTGGCTCAACGGGTTGGGCATCATCCTAAAAAACTGGGAAGTCACCAGTTCAATTCCCTGGCAGGGCACATTCCTAGGTTACCAGCCTGGTCCCTGGTTGGGGGTGTGTGAGCAACAACCAATTGATGTCTCTCTCCCTGTTTCTCCTTCCTTTCCATGTCTCTAAAAACAAATAAATCATTTAAAAAATAGATTTAGGAATATTTTTATAGCAATCCCTACTTTCATATTATTATTTGACAATAAATATTTATAACATATAAGATTAGGTTACTGTTTTCAAAAGGAAAGCATACCTTGGATGAGGACAGAATTTGAAAATTAAAGAAGTTATTTGTGATAATAAAATGGCAGCTCAATAAAACAGGCTTAATTTTTTTCAAACAAACTAAAAAATAACAGTATAACTTCTAATACTTAGGCTGTCACAAGGAAATGTACAGGGCAGCAAAACAGATACAGTTGAACCAGTATCTCAAAAACACTGTAGCCCCAACAGATTCCACAAATAAGAAATTGGAATCCAATAACCTTTAAAACACATTTCTTGTTAAATTACTCAACATAATGTAGAGACAGAATACAGAAAACCATGTGATGTTCAAACCAATTCAATCCTATCTGGAGGTGAAGTGACATGGTGCCCAGTCCTTTTTGTCCCCAGTAGAACAGGACACTGTGGGGGCTAAGAAGTTGGTTGGAACTCCAACTCTCCACTGCCATGTGACCTTTGCTGGGTCAGGGAACACCTCCGAGCTGCACTTGCCTCGCTTATAAAATGGTGATAATGCCAGTCTCATACATTTGCTGCAACGATTAAAGAGTGCATGTCAAAATGCTTAGTAGAATGCTTATATGGTAGACACATACAATAAAGGAAGCTTTTAAAAATTTCAATTCTGAACATCACAAGGATACAAAGACCCCAAAGGGTACATAACAGTGCTTATGTAAACGCGATACTGAGTTGAAAACAGGACTGTGAACAGGAACTCCTTGCGTAGAACCACGTCTGCCGTGCGTTGAGAACAGCAACACTGGCCACAGCCATGCTGCTGTCCTCCTTCAGCCTTGTGCTGTTTGCTGTCTTTTCCCTGTATGCTTTAAATACTGTTTTAAGTCTACCACTGACTACTGAAGCCTTTAAAAGTACTTTGGTTTCATCCTCTATTCTATACACATCAAGAAAGTGAGGAAGACCTATATGGAACATTCTTCATACTCTTAAGTATCAAACCATACTGCTTTTGCAGCTACAATTTATCCTTTTACACTTTGTGTTTTAAGATGTGGGGGAAATGATGCCATGTAGTGTGAAAGCAGGCAGGTGTAAATATCCACATTCACTTCCCACTAACATAACTTGGAATTGAATGCCATTCTTACATCGCTTGCAGGATGATTACACGTGCTTGTCCCATTGTTGTCCAGACTAATCAGTTTACTTCCACATTTTAAGAAGTTGTCCTTTACAGTTAACAAGTCAATTATGTATAATTGAAATTTTTCTAGCATTCTATAAAAAACTTACTGTTAGGTCTGAACCAAAATGTCCAATATAGCAGTGTTTTGTTTTGAAACATGATTTTTCAAACTTGCTTCTTAGTATGAATTAAGCACTTCCGTGGTGCTTAAGAATTCTGGAGCTATTAATGAAGGCTTCCCATGTAAATTCATATAATTTCCAGCCATGTAAATTCTATGATGTGCAATAAAATTTTGATCACTGAATTAAAGTTTTTTCATTCAATTGAAAGGGTTTCTGTTCAATATGAATTCTTTGATGAACTGTGAGAGTAGATTTCTTGCTGAAAGCTTTTCTACATTCACTGCATTCATAGGGTTTTTCTCCAGTATGTATTCTGTAATGTACAGTGAGATGTGACTTCTTGCTAAAGGTTTTTCCACACTCACTGCATTCATATGGTTTAGTACCAGTATGGATTCTCTGATGCACAATGAGTTGTGATTTTTGGATAAAAGCTTTTCTGCATTCACTGCATTCATAGGGTTTCTCCCCAGTATGAATCCTCTGATGTTCAATGAACTGAGAACGCCGGAGGAAGGCTTTCCCACATTCATTGCATTGATATCTTTTGTCCCCGGTGTGAGTTCTCTGATGTATAATGAGATCTGACTTCTGAATGAAGGCTTTTTTACATTCATTACATTCAAAGGGTTTCTCCCCAGTATGAACTCTGTGATGTAATCTTAGTTCTGACTTCCTGTTGAAAGCTTTTCCACACTCACTACACCCATGGGGTTTCTCCCCCGTATGAATTCTCTGATGTACAATGAGCTGTGACCGCCAGATGAAGGCTTTACCACATTCATTGCATTCATAGGGTTTCTCCCCAGTATGAGCTCTTTGATGTACACTGAGTGTTGACTTTTTGATAAAAGTTTTCCCACATTCATTGCATTCATAGGGTTTCTCCCCAGTATGAGCTCTTTGATGTACACTAAGTGCCGACTTTTTGATGAAAGCTTTCCCACATTCACTGCATTCATAGGGTTTCTCCCCTGTGTGAATCCTCTGATGAATAATGAAGTTCGACTTTTGGATGAATGCTTTCCCACATTCACTACACTCATAGGGTTTCTCTCCTGTATGAGTTCTCTGATGTACAGTGAGTTGGGACTTCTGAGTAAAGGCTTTTCCACATTCGCTGCATTTGTATGGTCTCTCCCCAGTATGAATTCTTTGATGGACAATGAGTCCTGACTTTCCAGTGAAGGCTTTTCCACACTGAATACATTTATGTTTCCCACGGGTTAGAGTTTGTGGTTGTATAAAGAGGTGTGACCTGTGCACGGAGGCTCTGATGTGCTCATTAGCTGTGTTCAGATGAAACACTTTCCCCAGTGTATTATTACATTCATGGTTTAGCTCCTTAGTCAGTGACTCACTATTACCAAATGCAACTAGGTTCAAACACTTGTCTTGGTTTCCCTGGTGATTTATATCACCTCTCAGTTTCCCATCTTCAAAAATTGAGTATCTTATCATGTTATGGAGTACCACTTCTTCAGAAATGTTCTTCTGTAGAGTTAATTCTTTCACTTTGGGTCTAATTTCAAAGGCTGAAAAAAATCCAAAATGTAATCATGTTACTTCATTCGAGCTTTGAAAAATATGAAACAAAACACAAAGTTCTTCATTTTAATGAGAACAGCAAATCTGATCATGAGTATGGTCAGCTTTGAAATTTAAGAGTATGATCTTAAAACCCAAAGACAGAAGAACAAGCAGACATTAAAAAAAGGTAGGATGGGAGAAATGGAAAAAGAAGAGTTCATGAACTCAATCAAGGTTCCATATCATGGTTCCACATGGTTCCCCACACTTCTGCCCCACCCCCGCTCCACCATGAGGCTCTGTGAAGACCAAAGGCAGACCAAAAAGTAACTTCAGGAAAGACAAAGACAGGATGGTAGCAAAAAAGAACTGAGAGTAAATTAAAGTGATCAGCAGAACAATTAAACCCACACTAAATCTAAAAATATTGTATAAGTAACTGGACAGATTAGAGAACACTGCAGAAAAGGGATTTTATAGGACTGTACATGTATCTTAAAGTATCAGATGACCTAAAAAGGTTCTATATAAAGGGAGCAATCCTGAGTTAGAAGAACAGGTGACTTCAGAGGAAGAAAAGGTGAAAAAGAAAAAAGACATACCCTCTATTTTTGGGTGGTAGGAATTGGGAAGAAAAAAAAGGGAGGAAATCTAGGGCCCTGAATGTAAAAACAGAACCAGAAAACTCAAAACTCCCCCCCAATCACAAAAAGGAAGGAAGGAAGAAAGGAAATGAGGGATCTTACTAAAATACCTAGTACCTATACTTTGTTGTATTAATGGGAAAGAACTCCAGCCCTGGCTGATGTGGCGCAGTGGATTGAGCTCCAGCCTGTGAACCAAAGGGTCACTGGTTTGATTCCCAGTCAGAACATATGCCTGGGTTGCGGGCCAGGTCCCCAGTGCGGGGCACACAAGGGACAACCACACATTGATGTTGCTCTCCCTCTCTTTCTCCCTCCCTTCCCCTCTGTCTAAAAAATAAATGAAAATTTAAAAAAGAAAGAACTCCATTGAATTAGAATCTTATACCATGATATGATAAAAATTAACATAAGAAAAGTAAAGTACATAGAAAACTATAGAAAAATCAGGAAATAAATTTGTATAGAAATCAACAGAGGACACTGTCCCCTAAAAAAAAAAAAGAAAAGAAAACCTAGCCATGAAGCAGAAGAAAATTTTGTCTGACTCCAAATAGAATTAAATACACTCACACAAACATGAGGACGTGGAAATACACCATGAAACAGAACTTTATAAAAAAAATTAAGTGGGAAAAAAATGGGAGAGATGAAAATAAAATGAATAAACTCGGGGAAAAAAAGTGGAAGACTAAATCATAAGATGCAGGCAGGGAGAATACACTCAAATGAAAATTTAATAAGCAGCATTGAAAAAAGGCAGGGAAACAAAGAAGATAGTAAAAATAAAATAAAGAATCAAATAAAAATGGTCATAGAGAAAGTAACGGAAAAGAAAGACAGGCAGAGAAGGAATATTTCTATTATTAAAGTCCTGAAAAAGCCCTGACCAATGTGGCTCAGTTGGTTGGGTATCCCTCAAAGCAAAACGTCACAGGTTCAACTCCAAGTCAGAGCACATGCCTGGGCTGTGGATTTGGTCCCCAGTTGGAGTATGTGTGAGAAGCAGCCAATTGATGCTTCTCTCACATATCAGTGCTTCTCTCCCTCTTTTTCTCCCTTCCTTCTCCCATCTTTAAAAATACGTAAACAAAATCATTTTTTAAGTCCTGACAAAATTTAAAAAACAAAAGATTGTAACTCTAAGACATTTCACACTGAAATAAAGAAAAACAGAACTTAGAAAGAATATCAATATCATTCAATAACTTTGAAATATAGTATATCTCAGAATGCCTGGATGGCCTGGATGCATAAGGAAAGGAGTACACACCCATTTGGGGAGAATAGGTGCTAAAGTTGTTAGCCAAGGGAGGCTAATTGATTAGGAAATGTCCTACATGATGTGGACATAGATAAGAGCCAAACTATAGGTAGCAAAGTTCAAGCAAAAAAAAAAAGGGTCCTATAGGTGTTTAATATGTAGCAGTGTCATTTAGGTATTCAACAATCTCACGACCATGTGTGGTCCTCAGCCATTTCTAAACATCTATGGCCTTCAAAAATGATTTCCTAAAAAATATTTCAAGGCTAGACGTTGCCTTATTCAATACAAATCTTACGTCCCTGCCTCCATATGCCAGGTTCCCACTTACCTGGATAAGCCCAACTTGAGATTTCTCCCTCCACCATCCATGGCTGTCCTTGCTTCAGCAAGATTTTATCTGACTTCAGAGACTGATACCCTGTTTATGGGAAATGATATAGGAGTTGGGCATTAGTGGACACCAACCACCCTAGAACTTGGGCCCATTACATTATGTATCAGAATGGCTAAAATCAGAAAAGACTAACATCATGAAAGCTTGATGGAACTTTCATATATTGCTAGTAGGATATAAATTAGTATAACATCTTTGGAAACCATCTGGTTGTATCCACCAAAGGTAATTATGCATATGCTCTATGACCCAGAAATTCTATTCCTATATATATACCTAACAGAAGTGAAATCCTATTTCCACCAGAGAATATGTATAAAAACATTCATTAAAAAAAGGAACATTCATAACAGCTTTGTTCACGATAGCCCAAATCTGAAATAACTCACATGACCATCAATGGCAGTGTGGATCAACTGATGAATTACAGTACAGTCACTAAATGGAACGCAAAGCAGTAAGAAAAAGAATCAAACTACTGTCGCATGCCAAAACATGGCTGTATTTCACAGATATGTTCAATGAAAGACGCCAGACAACAAGAACTTATATACTGTGTGATCACACCTGCATGAAGTTCAGGCATGAACAAAACGTGTAGGGACAGAAGCCACAGTCGTTCTCTCTCCTGGAGCTAAGTGGGAGACTGCTGGGTGCTGGAAATGTTCTATGGCTTGGTTTGGGTAGTGGTTAAGTGAGTGCATGCATTTGAACAACCGTATTAAGCTGTGTACTTAGGACCTGAGTATTTACTATACATGTTATATTTCAATTTATAAAAACTGAGGACTTGGGCCCAACACACTGTCTTTAGTCTCCAAGGAATGAGCAAGATGCAATTCCCATTTCCTTTTCACCCAAATTCCCAGAAAAGTAGAAGCATAGTATGGGTACTCAAAATTAATAAATATTTTTGACATTTATTGCTTGAAATGAAGCTCATTAAGCATTCAGAGACAAAACAGTTTTTAATAAACAGGAATGGAAAGGCAGTCATTTGGGTACTACGGTGGGTTTAATAAATGTCCATGAATCCCTTGACACTTTCATTCAAGACGGACAGCCTAATCCTCCACCCCTTGAGCACAGGCTGTACTTAGTCACTCACTTCTATAAACACAATGAGGTAAAAGTGATAATGTGTGATTTTGGAGACCTGGTCATAAAGCGCACTATGACTCTGGCACTGCGACTCCCTCCTAGCTCCTCTCAGATCAGTCTCTCCGGGGCAAGTTTGCCAGGTCATGAGAGCAAGCTCACGGATAAGGAACTGAGGTCTCCTTCCACTCACTGAACAACAGGGAAAGACGGCTCCTCCCAGGACCACGTGAGTGAGACTCACTCATCCTGGAAACGGATCCTAGACTCCCAGTCCGGCTTTCAGATGGCTGCAGACTGCCAGTACCTGCCCACAACCATGTGGAAGACCACAAGCCTGAGCCACCTAGCTAAGTCTTTCTAAATTCCTGACCTACAGAAATTGTTTATTTTGACCCACCAAATCTTGGAATAGTTATTATACACCAACAGGTAGTTAATATCAACCAGTACCCTAGGAGGAAAGATGTCCTTACCCACTGCAACAAGGTTGCTATAGTTCTCCAGCATCACATCCCGGTACAGGCTCCTTTGAGCAGAGTCCAGCTGCTGCCACTCCTCCTGAGTAAAGTCCACAGTCACATCCTTGAATGACACAAACCCCTGTAACAGGACATTCCTGTTCAACCTTAAGTGAAAAGTACTGGATAATGTATGTAAAAATGTTGAGAAATTATTGCTGTTTTCATCATGCAGAGTTCAGCATGATCAATGAAAAATATTACTATGTAGCTAATTTTTTTAATCCTCAACCAGGGTATATTTCTTGATTTTAGAGAGACAGAAAGGGCCTGGATGGAGGGCAGGGGACAGATAAACACCGACTGGCTGGCTGCCTCCTGTAACACTCCCCAACCTGAGGCCAAACCAGAAACCGTTTGGTGTGTGGTATGACCCTACAACCCACTGTACAACCCAGCCAGGGCACTATGAGGCCAATTTTTTATTTTAGAAAGAAAAGGAAAGAAATATTGATGTGAGGAACATTGATCAGTTGCCTCCCATATGTACTCAACCAGGGACTGAACTTACAGCCCAGGCATGTGCCCTGACCAGGATTCAAACAGGTGACCTTTTGCTTTGTGGTACAACATCCAACCAACTGAGTCACACTGGTCAGGACTGAAGCCAATTTTGTGTTCCAATAGGTGGGAGAAGCAAAAAGTTCTATTATAAAAACTTTGCCATTGAGTCCTAGCTGGTGTGGCTTCGTGGACTGAGCACCAGCCTGTGAACCAAAGGGTTGCCAGTACGATTCCCAATCAGGGCACGTGCCTGGGTTATAGGACAGGTTCCTGGTGGCAGGCGTATGAAAGACAACCACACCTTAATGTTTCCCCCCCTCTCTTTCCCCAACCCTTCTTTTCTCTCTAAAAATAAATAAAATCTAAAAAAAAAAAAACTTTGCCATTGAGAATCATTCACTCTCTTTCCATCAGTAAATATTTATTAAGCACCTACGTGACCAGCACTATTTGGGGCTCAGGATACAAATATGAATAAAACACTGGAAGTTTACGGACTAGTAGATGGAGGCAAACAAATAAACATACAAATGCTGAGGTGTTAAGTGGGTTATGCTAGAAATGGGAAAGAGTAATTTTGAGGTGCTGAGTTGGGTTTCACAGAAGATTTTTGTAGAAGATTGATAAATTTATACAAAATGAACAGTGAATTTATGTAAAAATATACATGTGAAACTGTAAAAAAAGTAACAGCAGCTGGCCAGGACTCCAGGGTGATGGAGCACAAAGCGGACCCTGGGAACGAGGGAGCCACATGCAGGACAGCCACAGAGGGGCGTGCAGGGGCTGAGCTGAACAGAGGGCACGTGGGGGTGCAGGCTCACAGACACAAATGCATGAGTACACGGGACACTGGAGGAGAAGTGGGACAGCCACATCATTTTAGGGGACCTCACCAAAGAATATTCACTAATTACACGTGGAAAAAGTGACTTTGTGAGAGGACCAGCTGGACCTGCCAGAATCAGCGAGGGACAGATGGTCAACGCCCCCAGGAGGAGAGGCAGGGACCCCTTCGGGGGATGGAGGGCTCTAGGCTGGTCAGGGGCACATCAGACAGCTGCAGTGCCCGGTCGTGAAGCAGAAGGAGCTGAGGACCATCCGGACTAGAGGGGACAGAGCAAGGCGGTCCCTACCGGCGCAGCAGCCTGTTCTCAGGCAGGTCAGGAACCAGTTCTCTGCCCTGTCCCCCAACAATGCTACAAGTCTGTGACTGTCCCCCAAGGAAAAACTTAAAGCAGATACTTAGCATTACCTCCAGGACAAGGTTTCCAGTGTGAAAGAACTTAGTATTTATAATGTTTTAATTAAAAAATGAGATCTTATTTACTAAGGGTAAGAAGCAGAAGAGAGCCCTGACTGCTGTGGCTCAGTGGATTGAGCACCAGCCTGAGAACCAAAAGGTCACTGGTTCAATTCCCAGTCAGGGCACATGCCTGCGTTGCAGGCCAGTTCTCCAATCTGGGGTTGGGAGGAGAGGGGTAGGGGTGGAGGTGGGGCGGTGGGGGGTTGTGGGAGGCAACTGATCAACGTTTCTCTTGCACACCAATGTTCCTCTCCCTCTCCATCTCCCTCCCTTCCCCTCTCTCTAAAAATAAATCTTTTAAAAAAAGATGTAGAAGAGTAGGAAAAAAGGGGAAACTGCCAAATGCTCTATTCAGTCGGAAGTCAGAAGGAACCACATTAGTCCTGATTTTAAAATTCAGTGATGTTTCTGAAAAACTTCAAGGCAATTGCTAGTGAAATTAAAAGCAGGACATGCACTTTCAAAGGCTCTGCAGAAGACAGAAGCTAAGGAACCCTGGTTCCTAGGACTAAGCAAGAGAGCGTAAGAGAAGGAGAACACAGGGGAGCAGCACCAGGCTGAGCGTAGCACAGACCACACAGCTACCACCGACGGGCCACACCGGAGGGAAGGGAACAGCCAAACGCACACCCTAAACCCAATGTGCATGCCATCCAAAAGAAAGTGAGGCAGACAGAGATAAGGAAGCAAGGGTGGCTTTCTCTGGTTGAGAATTACAGGTGACGTTGTGCCCCTCTTTCTGGATTAAAGTAACATGAAATGTTTCAGAAGTTCCAGAGACCATCAGGAAGGCTGGTGAGAAAGAAGCATGGGGAGGCTCTACCCCATGAGCCTGTGTGTGAAGCAGACTGCGTGGTGGTTGTTCCCCACAGGAAATGCTCGTGTGAAAGACCAGGAAGCCAATGGAGTTCCCAGGGCTCAAAAATAGGCCAGTGGACATCATAGAAAGAGGCAGAAGGGGCCCAGCTAGTCAGGCAAGTGACTTATATTTAGTACAATTACCAAAAAAATATTACGAATAAAACTTCTACTAAAGTTCTACTAAAAAGTGAATAGTATATTCCCTGGTAAGATGCGGAGGGGAAGAGTGATCATCACAGATAAAGGGAGGGGTAAGTAAAAAGCATGGAGACGTAAAAAAGAACATGGTAAATTCAAGAACTATGAGTGTTTCAGGATAATGCTCTCGAACATCAATCATTCATATACTGCCTTCACAATTTTTATCATATCTGCATACCACCTGTGTTACTGATTTAATATTTAACCCAACTCAGCTTTTTTTAACTTAAATATATGTATATTGAAAGGAAACCACTAAAGAGAAATGAAAATACCAACAAAAATCTGCAAAGTAAGTATATACTGAAGAAATGTGATGTATGGGATTTGCTTTAAAATACTCTAGAAAACAAATAAAGGAAAAAAGATGTAAGCCCTGGCTGGTGGGATTCAGCGGATTGAGTGCCAGCCTGCGAACCAAAGGATTGCTAGTTCAATTCCCAATCAGGGCACATGCCTGGGTTGTGGGCCAGGTCCCCAGTGGGGGGGGGGGGGGAGACAACCACACATTGATGTTTCTCTCCCTCTCTATCTCCCTTCTCCTCTCTCTAAAAGTGAATAGAATCTTTTTTAAAAAAAGGAAGAAAGATGTGACACCAGTAAAATATTAATAATTGTTGAAAATATATGAGGAGATACAAGGAGTTTATTATACTGTTCTCTAAATTTTTATATTTGGATTTTTCCATTAAACACACTTTTAAAAATTCAATAGAAACTTTTAAAGTTTAAATTGATATGAAAACAATAAAACGTAAGCAATATATGCCCCAGCTGGTGTGGCTCAGTGGGTTGGATGCTGGCCTGTAAACCGAAAGGTTGCTGGTTCGATTCCCAGTCAGGGCACATGCCTGGATTGCTGGCCAGATCTCCCCCCAGTTGGGGGCATGTGAGAGGCAACTGATTAACATTTCTCTCCCTCTTTCTAAAAAATAAATAAAATCTTAAAAACAAAATATAGCCATATTTAATCTAATCAATTTATTTGTATAGCAGTATTCGCAGCCAAAAGACAGAAACAACTTAAGTGTCCATCAGCAGATGAACGAGTAAATGAAATGTGGTTATGTCCACATTACGGAACATTATTTAGCCACAAGAAGGAAAGGAATTCCAATAGATGGTATAACATGGATAGACCTTGAACCCTTGCCGGGGGAAATAAATTAGACAAATTTATTTTGAACAAATACTGTATGATTCCATCTAAACAAGTAAATTCATAGAGTCAGAAATCGGTTCTGAGGTTACCAGGCGCTGTGAGTGATAGAAAAGAATAGGGAGTTATTGCTCAGTGGGTACGGAGTTTCTATTTAGGGCGATAAAAAAGTTTTGGGAATAGTGGTAATGGATACACGAATTGTAAACATAATCAATACCACTTAAAAATGAGTAGAATGGCAAATTTTGTTACATATATTTTACCACACGAAAATCCTAGTTGTCCAAGTTCAGTTCAAGGTATCTATTCTAGTAAATATCCAAGTAGCTATAAGTACGCAACTGGACTTCAGTGGGAGGACAGGTGCTCAGAACAAAAACCAAGAAGCATGGAATTCAAGCAGAGAAAAGAGAGAAGGTAAGAAGTGGGGAAATCCCTGATGGGTGTGGCTCAGTCTGCTGGGCACCCTTCCAGAAAAAAAAAAAATGTTAACAGTTTGATTCCCGGTCAGGCACATGCCCGCATTGTGGGTTTGTCCCCAGTTGGGGCACGTATGAGAGGAACCAATTGATATTTCTCTCCCTCTTTCTCCCTCCCTTCCCCTCTCTCTAAAAATAAATAAATAAAACCTTAAGAAAGAAGTGGGGAGAGGGATGTAATAGACAGTGAAAAAAACGGAGGGACAATGGACCAGAGGTCTGAATGGAGGTGAAGAAATGCTAGACTCAAAGTACTAAAGTAAATAAGCTAGAATAAGAAATAATAGCCAGAGAATGAAACGCTTGGAGATGGTACAGTGACGAGGAGTTACAAATCTAGTATATGACTGTGGGAGTTGGTGGCTGCAATGAAGTAGAGGAAAATCATCTCTGGAATGAGGAGTTACACTGGTACCACTAGTACCAATAGCACTGTGATACTGTGACTTCTGATTAGAAATATATTTCGTTTTCATCCTGGTTCTTGGCATAGAGCTCCTAAAATCCAGGAATTTCCTGATAAAAGATAAAGGTGTCTTTTGTTATGCTAACAGTGACTTGGAAATCAAAAAAGGATGGAAGCTGGTTGCTAGTGAATAGAACAGGGGTGTCAAATTCATTTTCACTGGGGGCCACAGAAGCCTCACGGTTTTGCCTTCAAAGGGCCAAGTGTAATTTAGGACTGTGTCAATGTAACTGCTCCTTAACAGTTAAGCGCAAGCTCAGCACTGCCGCCCCCGGTAGAAACAAGGTGCCACACCGGATAAAACAAGGTGGAGGGTGGGATTCGGCCCACGAGCCTTGTGTTTGCCACCTGTGGAATAGAAGACAGGAACTTTCTGTCCCACTCCCTGAGTTCCAAGGAGGGGAATGGGGCTAGAAGGTGAATCAGTCACCAACAACCAATGATTTAATTAACTGTGCCTATGTAACGAAGCCTCCACAAAGACCCAGCAGTAGGGGGATTCAGAGAGCATCCAGGCTAGTGAACCGGACCAGGCCCCAAACTCCACGAGGACAGACCTTCCTTGTTCCGGACCTCACCATATGTATTCTTCACCTACCTGTTGAATTGTATCTTTTAATATCCTTTGTTTCAATGTAATAAACTGGTAATCTAGCCAGTAAACTGGTTTCCTGAGTCCTGTGAATAGCTCTAGCAAATTAATTGAAACAAAGGAGGGGGTTATCAATCAACAAATTGATAACCACTGACTTACAGCCAGTCAGTCAAAAGCACAGGTAACAACCTGGACTCACAATTGGCATCTGAAGAGTGTGTGAGGGGAGAAGGATTGAGCCCTTATCCTACAGGATCAGATGCCATCCCCAGGTACATAATGTGGAAGTTGAGTTGAATGGTGGAACATCCAGCTGGTGTTGAAGAACTGCTTGGTGGTATGGTGGGGGCGAGGGGTTGAGGAACACATTGCATCTGAGTGCAGCGTTATAGGTCCCCAAACTTTATAACCCAGAAGTCCCCAAACTTTTTAAATTGGAGAATGTAATATTATAATAAGAAATATATATTTTGGCCTTTATCCCTGGCTCATGCTCAGAGTTCCTAGAACTTTATAATGGCCAGAGCAATAAAGGGGCTAGCAGCATCTTTTTTTCTGATATTTGGTCTTTGACTCTGGTTCCTGACACACTGCTTCTAAACTGCTTGGAATTTCATGAGTGTTAGGCGTACCTTTTGTTCTAACAAGGCAACTCTTGGTGAGACATGTTTCAGTTAAAAATAAAAAAGCATGCACATCAAGAATATAAACCTTTAAAAAACATAAATTTTATTTAAGTACTTCAATACCAAGATATTATGGTCACTAAAAATATATGTAAGTAGAAGTTCTTGTCTTCCCACTCCAGCCCTCCTGCAGGCCATCCTGTACCACTAAGGGACGGATGCTCTCCTCTGTGAGGACCAGTGTACGGAAGCTATATGCCACCTGGTGGGTCCAACCAAGAGAACATTTTAGATAAAAATTAAATAATATATACCTTCCAATAAATACATTTAAAGCTGTATGACAACCACTAAGATGCTGGCCAGCAGTATTTGGCTGAGTAATAAACCAACAGATACGAACAAATTTACTTGATCTTCACTATTCACCAAGTAGACTTGGAGACTCTCGACCTATTGCATTTTATTTTTTTTATCTTTACCCACGGACATTTTTTCATTGCTTTTAGAGAGAAAGGAAGGGAGAGAAATATCAATTCAAGAAAGAAGCATCAACTGGTTGCCTCCCACAGGCACATGAACCAGGAATCGCACATGCCCAAACCAGAGACCAAACCCACAACCTGGGTATGTGCCCTGACTGGGAATCAAACATACAACCCTTCTGTTAAGGGACAACGCTCCAACCAACTGAGGCACACTAGCCAGGGCTCAACCTATTGCATCTTCAAGAAAAAAATTTCTAATTACTTTCTTTATTGGTTAAAAAGTACAAATTAAAATTGATGCTATTATTACCTTTAATGACATAAATCCCCAGGACCAATTTCACAAATCCCCAGGTTGAGAATTGCTGTTCCAAAAATTACAGATTTTATTCATGAATCAAGGCAGATTGTTTAACCGCTGTGTACTTGGACCTCATGATTTTACTGCCTAGAAATTGAATTCTGCCTTGTTATTATGCCCTATACTTATTATGAGAAATAGTTGAACAAACAGCTATGGAGAAACCTATTATGGAATTTATCATGGGTTGGTAATTATTAGGGACACTGCCTACAAGATCATATGTATGCAGACCCATTAAGAGAGTAACTTCAAACCCAAATACCAAAAAAATCTTTACCTTCCTCAAGAAATTAGCACTTATTGTATAGTTAGCACATTTAATGCAGATGATATGCTCAACTTTAATTACCTATAAGAGATTCTATAGCTTTTATGACTATGTTTCAAGTTTCCTTGGTCTAGATATTTTATTTTCTCTTGTCTCTATACACATTTTTCATTTAATTGAATTAATTTCTAAAAACTGTCTCAAATTCAGTGGAAAACAAAGTGGAGTATAAACAACATACTTACCGGGGATTTAGTCATTTTCTGCTGCTCTTCAGAAGTGGCAGCTCTCTGTAAAGACAGAGCTGGGATGAGCAGACAGCCTTAAAAGCCTGAGTATCTGGGCCTGCCCTGGGATTCCCAGAACCACCAGCCTAGAATTTCCTATGATCAACCACATAAAAGACTACCCTTTGAAGATTGCCCCTTCAAAGGGTGCTTTTAGAGAGATTACAAAGGATTATGCTATGATAACATAAACCTATTAACTTAAAATTCTGAGATCAAGACATGATATGTTTTTCCTTTGAGGATGTGAATGTATTCCATTATATATTTAAAACTTTTCTCCCCTTGCCATATTTGACAAACCCACAGCTAACACCATACTCAACAGTGAAAAACTGAAAGCTTTTCCCCTAATATCAGGAACAATACAAGGATGCCCATTCCTACCACTTTCAATTAATACAGCACTGGAAGTCCTAGCTACAGTAATTAGGCAAGAATAAAAAAGAAATGGCATCCAAGTTGGAAAGAAAAAAGCAAAACTGTCACTAAATTCAGATGACCCTAAAAAACTGCACTGAAAACTATTAAAAGTAATACATTAATTCATTAAAGATACAGGATACAAAATTAATATACACAAAATAAGTTGCATTTCTATATACCAAAAAGAAGCTATCATAAAGAAAAACTAATCCCATTTACAACTGCATCAAAAAGAATTTAACCACCGAAGTGGAAGACCTGTACTCTGAAAACTGTAAGGCATTCAAGAAAAAAATTGAAGATGACACAAATAAATGAAAAAATGTACCATACTAAGGAATTGAAAAATTAATATTGTTAAAATTAATTTTACAGCCAAAGCAATTTACAGGTTCAATGAAATCCCCATCAAAATACCAATGGCATTTTTCACAGACCTAGAACAAATAACCATAAAATGTGTATGAAACTACAAAAGACCCCAAACAGCCAAAGCAATCTTAAGAATAGCAAAGCTGGAGGTATTATGCTCCTTGATTTCAAACTATATTACGAAGGTAAACAATCAAAGCAGCAGAGCATTGTCCCAAAAACGGACACACGGATCAATGGAATAGAATAGAGCCCAGAAATAAGCTCATGCAAATATATTCAATTAATCTATAGCAAAGGAGACAAGAATATACAGTAGGTTTTAGACCATCTCCCTCAATAAAAGGTATTGAGAAAACTGGCCAGCTACTTTCAAAAGAATGTAACTGGACAACTCTCATACCATACACAAAATACACTCAAAATGGATTAAAGACTTGAATGTAAGCCCTGAAACCATAAAACTCCTAAAAGAAAACATAGGCAGTAAGCTCTTTGACATCAGTCTTAGCAATCTGTTTTTGGACCAGCTTCCTCAGTCAAAGGTGACAAACGCAGAAATAAACAAATGGAATTACATCAAACTAAAAAGGTTTTGCACAGAGAAGGAAACCATACACAAAATGAACAGGCAACCTACTGAATGGGAAAACATATTCGGAAATCGTATATCCAATACGAGGTTAATATCCAAAACATATAAAGAACATATACAACTTATTAAAAAAATTAAATGTTACAGAACCAAAGTAAGGGTTTCGCTGCCTGCCACCTCCAACAGGCAAATTCTAGAGGCAGAGACTGGTGAGAAAGAAAATATTTTTATTCAAATGACGCATGATCCGGGAGAATGGCAGACTCTTGTCTCAAAGCCTGTTCCCTCCGCCCGAGGAAGCCCAGACATCCTCAGCCAGACGAACCCAACGGCAGTGCCCCAGTTCCTTCTCCCATTCAAAGTACCGTCCTTTGGGAACCGCGGGCAACCGCTGAGCGGTCGTCCAGGAGGCTCAGCTTGCTTCTGGCCGCCACTGTCCAGGTTCAGGCTCCCTGCCGGCCAGCGCTCCCAATGGCCGTGTGGCTTCCATGAACAGAAAGGACCTCAAAAGCACCAAATAGTATGGTCCCCAGGTGAGTTAGAGAGTGTTCCTTCCTCCCCCTGGGTTTATATTAGTTTCGGGCGTGGGAGGATCAGGTGCTTTCTCAGAATGCCCAATTAACTTCTCAAACTTCCCGGTGTTCCGTGAGGGCCCGCCCCCCGACCAATCCCGTCTTTTTTTCAGGCTAGATTGACAGGCTTCTTCCCTCCAGTACCACTCCCAGGCGCCATTCTGATTTCTACGTGGGGATGCGCCTGCCTCGCCGTGGGGTCCCACCGCCAATCTGATGCCGGAAAGGGGTAGGAGGGCTTTCCCCTATCCAATAACTCGCTAACCTTGTCCTAGCTCAGTGCAATACCTCCTCCTGCTGCCATTTTTCCTGGGGGCGGGGGGAACCTGTCGCAAGGAGCAGGACTTCTCCGCCCCCAGGGCTGAGCGTGGGAAAGAAAGGTGCTTCTTTACTGGCTCCGCAGCCTGCCCTGCTACCAGCAGCACCACTAAATCCCAAACTCCGCAGGGCGGCAGCTACTATCTTGTGCATCTCCCTTCAATGACTCACCACAACAGGACCGGAAATTACGGACCGCTACAAACGCTCAATCGCTGATCATACACGAATCCCTAACTCCCAATACCGCAGCCAAAGACTGAAACCTCCTGTTCTGAAATCAGGCTCAACTTCCCGCCGCTTGCCTCCTCTCGTGAGCGCTCAGCTGACAGCTACGACCTGCCCCCACCACTTCATGGGCCGTGGAACTCTCCCAGTAACCACGGAAATTGGCGCAGCCCCTCACTCGCCCCTTTCGCGACACTTTGAGGGTTGTTAATCCACTGGAGCCGTGGATTAACATGGCCGCGCCCAATAACGGGCTATGTAGGAAATGGGAGGCTCCATGTTTCCAATATAGTTAATGCCATACAGTAAAGGAGGTGGAAACTGAAATACTGGAACTGCGGAAAAGGTGTGGGAACAAGGCGGGAGCGACGATAGAAACTAGGAAAGCCAGGTATCTGAGGATGGAGTCAGGGAACCGATTCAGCTAAAATATGTAGAAATGGGTACGCAGAGAAAGGTGCAAAGATTGGGAAGTGGAGTTGGGAAGCAGGGGAAGCCCCTCCTGTTAAACAGATGAGAATGTCTCAAATCGATTGCTCCACATCACAGTGCCTCATTTTCCCAATCTGAGGAATAATAAAAATAATAATAATAATAATTTATTGAGCACTTACTGTGTTTTTAAGGTATGTTATTTAATTTGTTTTAAGATTTAAAGGCACCTATTACAAGTAATTTACACATAGCATTTACTAATATTTTAGTAAAAGTTCTTTAAACTCTGTATAACCATCTTTTACATCTGACTCTTATAGTCATTTATAAGGTCATTTTTTTCAGGCCTAGTTGAGGTAGTGTATTTTTGAATTTTGAAAAGTGCTGTCAGTGAATTTCCACTTCAAGTCTCAGGTTTTATTTCCATAGCTTTAGTACAGTTTTCTTTTTCATTTGTCTTTTGGAATAGCTGTGATCCTAATGATTTACTTTATTCTTAAACTTATTGCAGTGACACTGATTAGTAAAATTATATAGGTTTCAAGTGTACAATTCTATAATGCATTGTCAGTATATTGAATTGTGTTCATCATCCAAAGTCAAATCTCCTTCCGTCACCATACACTTGACCCCCTTTACCTCTTCTGTGGAGAAGTCAGGATGGAACAATATTCTCCCCAGGAGATAGCCCTGGGAGAAGGTAAGTCAGAATGCCTTTCATTTGGTGAACTCCAGCCAATCATCCTGGAAAATAAAATTCAAATGTCCTACCCTGGGAACACATTCCCTGACTGCGATGAGAAGACCCTGCCCCTGCTGAAGACACATCAGATAGGAAGCAACAGAGGGTAAGTGCTGGGGTATGAACTCTGAAGGACAATTCAGAACCCCTAGATTCTCTTCTCAACCTGGTCTTGAACTTGCTCTGTGGTCTTGGGCCAGACACTTTCCCTCAGTTCTCTCATTTGTAAAGTAGAGGAAGGCTTTGAAATACTCTTAGGTATTTCAGTATTTGCTGACATAAAGAAGAAAACTTCGGCATCACTGTTGGTGAAAAGCATGTTAGAATCCACCCAGTTTTTAAAAATATAATACTATCTAGTGTTATTACTGTTAAATTAATTAAACAAGGAGGCCGTTAGACTAAGGTGGTTCCAGTGCCTTAGCAGCCTTCTTCACAAGCAAACCAAAACCTATGCCTGTAAATGCTTCAACTTTAAAAACTCAAAACCTAAGTACAACCCATCACAGACAGCCAAGGAAGGCAACTGTTCAAACTGTAGCCCATCAAGTAATTCCCTTGCTTTGCTTCTGGGTTTTCTCTGGAAAAGTCTTGCTCCCAGCTCATCAGTGGAGCGCTTCTAACCATTTTCCATTTGGCGCTGCCCAATTCAAATCAATTTTTGCTCAAATAAACTCTTAAAACTTTTCATATGCTTCAGTTTATCTTTTAACATTACTACAGAAAATCTAGCCCTAACTAATGCCTAAAAACTAATGGGTTAATTCTCAAGGTTCACTAGCTCTTTCAAACCAGATACAGTGGACTTAATACTTCTGGAATATTCTCAACCAGGAGAATGCCAGGAAAATTACTGTTCATGCCCCAAGCTGGACTCTAACATTTTCTTCTCTAGTTTTGTTGTTGTTATTTGTTTCCACAACTCCGAGGCATCTGTTCCTTTTTATGGGCACAGCTACATATGCTTCCCTGTCCCAGCCATTGCTACGTGGGACTAGGGTCTCCAGTGTTTGCATCATTCTCCCCTTTGGTCCGACAGCTACTCAGGGCAAGACTATGTCAGAATCAGCTTAGCTTTCCTGCCTTTCTTGTTAGATACATATTGGGTTGGCCAGAAAGTTCATTTGGTGTTTTCTGTAAGGTGGTTCTAATAGTGCTTCCTTGTCCTTAAGTTCATTCGAAACAATTTTGTTAGATTGTATTGTGACAGCTGTCATATCAATGAGCATTTAAAAAACTTTATGAAAATAGATGAATGTGTAGCCGTTTTAATATTGAAAATAAGCAACATTTTCAGCATGTTATGCTTTGTTCTTTCAAGAAAGGTAAAAATGCAACTGAAATGCAAAAAAAAAAAGATTTGTACAGTGTATGGAGAAGGTGCTGTGACTGATTGAACATGTCAAACGTGGTTTGCAAAGTTTTGTGCTAGAGATTTCTCACTGGACCAGTTGGAGGTGATAGTGATCAAATAGAGACATTAATTGAGAATGATCATTATATACTGTGTGGGAGATAGCTGACATTCTCAAAATATCCAAATCAATCAAGGTGTTGGTGAAAATAATGTGTCTTTTATTTTACAGAAAAAAAATATACAGACTTTTTGGCCAACCCAGTATTTATGTCTACTGACTCTTCCTCTGTAATAGAACGCTCATTCATTCCTTCAGTCATACACATGTCTTACTGCCATGTCTGGTCATGCAAGGGAGGGGCTCAGTCTGATAGTGACAATGCAGTATGACCGGTGATGTGACAGAGACATGGTTGGTGTAGAGTGGGTACAGTTAGAGGTGGCCAGCTCTGTCAGGGACTGGGTGGTAGTGGAGGGGGTATGAGAAGGGCCGCTTAGGAAGGCTTAGTGATGCTGACATTCTGGGGGTCTAGGGATCCAAAGGTCTGTGACCCACTGTGGGCTCTTGGCTTCGCACAGGAAAAAATTCAAACACAAGACAGCAGAGTTAAGAGTGAAACAGATTCATTAGTGAAGCAGTGAGACAGAGTGGCTACTCCACAGACAGAGCAGCCCCTCCTTAGTGGGATTTACTTCTTTTATTGAGGCTCATTTAATCAAGGGGTAGGGCATTCAATAAAGGGGAGGAATATCCAGGACATTTCTGGGAAAGATGTGGAGACTTTTCAGAAGAGCTCAGCTGGCCACTTTTTGCCCTTATATGGGCCTTTTGCTTCAGATTATGGCACCTCAGGGTATGTCGTTTAGCATGCTAATATACTACAACGAGCACATATAATAAGGCTAGGGGTCACCATGAGGTAGAATTAGTTACTGTGTTGGAATGAGCTGGTCTTCCACCTGTTCTAAGCCATTACTCCTTTGGGGGTTGGTCTTACTATAACCTTGGCAGTTCCTGTAACTCTTAAGGGTTATAGCTGTTTTGCCACATACCCTGTCTCATTAGGATATGATTTTAAAAACTGAGTCTTAGAAGAGGAGCAGGAGTTTATCAGGAAAACAAGGTGAAGAAGGGAAGTTTCAACAGAACAGTAGGTCGCTCCTCATGTAGAAGAGCAGACTGACCCACCTCCACTTCTTTGTTCAATTCAGATGGTTCCCTCTGTTGGGAACATACAAACACTCCTGTTTGGAGAGGGAGGGAATTCCCTACCAAAGATTAGGGGAGTCTCACTTGCTTTGTGAGGCCCTAACTTGCTAGTTCTTTTACATATGAAATATAATTCAGGGTCCACAGTCTACAGCCCTTGGGAGAATCTTGCCCACTGTTTTGATAAAAGTGCCTGCCCATTCATTTACATATTCTCTTCTTGCTTTTGTGCCACTTGGTGTGTCCATTTTCTTTCATTATTCACCTCTAGTCATTTTTAGACATCATTTCCCCCTCACTCATTGATGCTAACCCCTTAATTTATTTTTTACTGCACAAGATGGCTTTCAGCATTCATTTCTGCTGTTCAGGCATACCTATATTCCTGTTTCAGGTGTGGCATTATTGTGAGTTCTCCAAGAGGTGTGGGAAACTCAATCTAACCATGACCTGCAACTGTTTTATCCCTCTAAAAAGTGCAGATTTTCTACAGTTCTGAACAATGATGATCATCCTGTGCGTACTGCTAGACCTCCACTTGATAGGAAATTATTGATGGAAAAAGCTTTCACATTGCATTTTTCTTCCCAACTTACTTGTAATGAGGGCATAATACAGGAGGTGATCATTCAATACATGCACAGATTCATACCAATTCCATTCTCAATATCAATGCCTTTTAATTCTCTGAAATGAGGTCAGGAAGGCAGGTGCTTGGATGGGAAGTATTCATAAAGATGGCATTTAATTACATATTTGTTGAGAACCCATTGTTATGCTAGATGAGTATCTAGGTGGAGTATACATTGAGCAGTATTGACCGTGACTGGACAAAGTGTTGCTACTGACTCATATGTTTATTCTGACGAACACATGCGGTAACGTAGTGAATGTGCTATGAAAAATGTAAAAGATGATGTACACGCCAAAATCATTACCTTAAATTACAAAACCATCTTTGTTTTCATGTCACCGTTCATAGTGTAACAAGTAAGTTTTAAAACAGTACAGCTGCATTTTTTATCTATGACTCATGGGTAAAAAATTCTAAGTATGCAGTGGAAAATAGGTTTCCTGTGTGAACCCATATTGACTCATAATACCTTCTGGAAAGCATGCATAAGAATGATTCTGAGGCCAAGTCTTGATTAACTCAGAAAGCGTTCAGTGATCCTGCAACAATGGCTGCTGTCGGGCAAGGGCAGGGAATTGTGCCCTTTGCTGCAATATGTCTGCCGTCCCAGATGCAGTTGTTTGTATTTAAGTGCTTTGAATGAGATAAAATGGACTGAGTGTCTAGAAAATCACTGTCATTCACCTTCAGTAACAATTCATCTTCAGTCTTTGAAAAAAGGCAAGTAAAAGAAACAGTGCTGAGTTATCACTGTAATTTACTATTTTAATGAAAGAACATGTTTATTAGGAAAAGTCTTTGTGAATTCAATGTAATATTCTTAGACTCATCATCATTAATGAATAGGCACAGAAACTTCTACTTTATCAAACAACATCATGGAGTGGACTCAGTGAAACTTTTAATTAGTGTTGATTTATGCATATCAAAAGGGTTTTAATTTTGGGAATAATACACGTACCTGATGAAAATGTTCAAACAGTACACAATGAACAGGAGGCCTCCCTCCCAGCCCAGACTCCATTACTGTCCTCCTGTGCCCAAGGGCAGCTGCCCTTAAGTTTTATCTCTATTTTTCAAACCAGGTCTATTCACATACAAACATAGTTATATATACATACTTAGAGAGAGACAGAGAGACAAACACAGGCACCCTTTTGTGCATAAGTGGGAACATACCAGATGCGTACTTCAGCAAGCTGCTATTTTCACTTAACATATAACTTGAACATCATTTTGTCCCAGCACCTGTGTAACCTCAGCTGCTTTCTTTCATTTTCTCTTAATTTTGTGTTAATATTTTTACATAAATGAGCTTTTTATAAAGTATTCTGCTTATGCAGAAGGTAACAAAAACATTAAGAGCTGAGTGATATCAAAGATGAGGCTCATACCAATGACCACAAACACTTATACATGGCAATGAACAGATATGCAAATTCAATTCTCATATGTTGAGTATACAACACTCAAGCAGCTCAGAAATTTTCAGCACGTGAATGTTTCTCTAGGGCTCTGCTTATTTAACTTATTAACATTTTTTAAACTTTATATTTCAATGTAAACATAGGTCATTTACAATAATTTGTAAAACTTTTCTATAAAAGGTTTGGTATCAAGTTTAAACTCTCAGTTGCTTCTATGTGAAGATTTATTTTCAAATTCTTTTGTGTATAATGAGGTGTGACTTCTTGTTAAAGGCTTTCCAACATCCTTTAAATTCAGAATACTTCTCAAGTTAAATAAAACCTTCAGTTCAATTCAAAGATTTCCCACATTATTTCACTCATGAGATTTCTCTTCTGAATGAGTTTTCACATGTTTGGTAAGGGATGCATTTTGTTTGAAGGCTTTTCCACATTCTTTACATTCATAGGGTTTCTCTCCAGTGTGGGCTCTCTGATGTATAACAAGTTGTGACTTTGCATTGAAGGCTTTTCCACATTCATTACATTCATAGGGTTTCTCCCCAGTATGAGTTCTATGATGTACAATAAGGTGTGACTTTTGGCTAAAGGCTTTCCCACACTCATTACATTCATAGGGTTTCTCCCCAGTGTGAACCCTCTGATGTTGAGTAAGGCCTTCGATTTGTTTGAAGGCCTTCCCACACTGATCACATTCAAAGGGACTTTCACCAGTATGTGTTCTCATGTGGTAAGTAAGGGATGAACTGTGTCCAAAGGCTTTTCCACATTCATCACATTTATACGGTTTCTCCTTAGTATGAGTCCTTTGATGTATCATGAGGTGTGACTTCTTGCTGAAAGCCTTCCCACATTCATTACATCCAAAGGGTTTCTCACCTGTATGGATTCTCATGTGTTTAGTAAGAGATGAGCTATACTTAAAGGCTCTTCCACATTCACTGCATTCATATGGTATTTCCCCTGTATGAGTTCTCACATGTTCAGTTAGAGATGAGTTATACCTAAAGGATTTTCCACATTCCTTACATTCATAGGGCTTCTCACCTGTGTGAGATCTCACATGTTGAATAAGATTTGAGCTGTGCCTGAAGGTTTTCCCACATTCAGTACACTTATAGGGCTTTTCCCCAGTATGAACTCTCAGATGGTCAGTGAGGGCATGTTTATGACCGTGAGCTTTACCACACTGAATACATTCATACGGTTTTTCTCCAGTGTGAGTTCTCTGATGTACAACCAGGTGTGACTTTTGGCTAAAGGCTATCCCACATTCATTACATTCATACGGTTTTTCCCCAGTATGAGTTCTCTGATGGTCTACAAGTCCTTGTTTGTGGCTGAGAACTTTCCCACACTGACTACATTCATAAGGTTTCACTTTAGCTTGAGCAGTGTCACACTTCGTAGGAGGTGAACTATGGCTGGATGATTTTTCACGTTTCTCTCCAGTTTCAGCGTTGTCCCATTTAGTGCGGGATGAGCCGCGATGAACCAAGTTCTCACATTTCCTGCCACTTTGGGTTTTGTCACACCCGTCAGATAAGCTCTGGTTAGATAATTTCTGTCTCTTTCCAGTTTTATTTTTGTCTTTCTTTGCCTCAGATAAGGTGTGGCCCAGTGATTTCCTGTGCTCTTTAGCTACATCAGGTTTCTTTTTTGCATGGTTTCTTATATGACCAGGTAGGTCGAAATTCTTCTGTTTCAGACTCTTTCCCTCTAAATTAAATTTAAGAAGCTTTTTTTTGGAAGACACTTGTGTTGTACTCACATTTTTTGTCCCCAATGAACCACCTTCATGGCCTTTCTTCTTAGTCAAAGTTTTTTTCTTTAATGTAACTTCCCTAAGGAGTTTGTTTTGAGATTCCTGGTGATTCTCTAGCTGGTCATCATCTTCCTGGACTTCCTCTAAAATGGAATTCAATGAGATATTCTTATGAACCTTTGTACTCTCATATTTTAGAATACAACTTACAAAGAAATGCCCTGTTGTGACATTGAATCTTTATTCAAGCCTTGTACCCCAAAGTGAATAAAATATCAAGCACATATGTCCCCATCCTCTTGGACTTGAAGGGGGAAATGCTGTAGTAAAAACAGTAAAAGAAAACTGACAACCATAATTTAAAAAAGCTTTGACTGTTTATAAATATGACCTTGCAACCTGGGATAGAACATGAAATATACACAAGGAGCAGTGAATGTGAAATAGATGAAGTAAAAAGAGCTTGTAACTATAGTTGACACTTTTTTGAAGTCTCTCCTCAGCCCAAACTGCCCAGCTTTGATAACTGCCAATCCACCCATAGCATTCAATTCCCATAGCCTGTACTACATTAATCCTGCTTTCCATGGTCACGGGTAAAGATATGTCTGACTCAAGATGTCTAGTAAGAGTCTCTCTCCTAAAAATTTAGATTCTAGGTAGTCTCCACCAGGTTCTTAAATTTATAAATGATATAAGACAAGTAAAATAAATCCATATTTTCCCTGTGAAAACAGAAAATTCATCAGTACAAAAGATGAAGCATACATCCACAGAAAAGCAGAGATGTAGGATCACAAATCTTCGAAGAGACCATTTGCATAATCTCAATTACTAATGGCTTTCCAGCCCTGGTTCAAGTCCTTGGTAAGGCCTAGCTAAAGTAGCTGCCTTCACATTACAAGGTATCTATCCATGTCCTTACAGTACATTCCTCTCTTTACTTAGCCTAGCTTATGTAAATTTTTGTTTTAGCACCCCAAAGATCCAAAACAGCAATAATAAGGCAAGTCCAGCAAGGAGTACTGAACAGCTTAAGGTGACTGAAGGAATAATCCAGAAAGGCTGTTCCCCTGCTACCACCCATGATCAATGTAATGACTTTCCTACACTAAAAGACAAGACAAAACAAACAAAAAAACCCCTCCAGTTTCTGAGTTCCTTAGTGCTTTCAGCATACTATAAAATTCACAGAGATGAGATGGACAAACTTCACACCATTTGGATGTCAAGTGTACACACACACTTATTTTCCAGTAGTTTGCTATGGAGCACCTCTGTTTTCCTGTCAGGTCACTCTACAACCGCCAATTATAAATCCGAAGCTTATTTTCCAGCTCTAAGTGATTGCTCCTATTCTTTCCTCCAAACATTATGCAGTTGTACATTTTAAGGTATCTTCTCAACCCAGGCTCCCCTTCTCTGAGACAACCACCCACACTGACAGGTGCAGGCAGCTGTGTTTGTACATTACAACCGAACTTCCAGTGGAAGACAACTGATTGGATGGTGGTAAAGGCCAGGCCCCACTCCAGATGGTCCAATAACAATTTTTCTCTCAAAAACCTAGAATTGAAACTCAAAGACTTCTGCGGGGAGGCAGAAGAGGGTAAAGGGGGAATAAATGGTGACAGAAGGAGACTCGAATTTGGGCCATGGACACACAGTACATTATACAGATGATGTATTATAGAATTGTACACTTTAAGCCTATATAATTTTATTAACCAATGTCACCCCAATAAATAAAGAAATTTTAAACAAGAAAGAAACTCAAAGAATTCTCTTAGCAAGATATGGACATTGAACATGTGAAAACCTAAAAACTTAGGCACTGGGACTGCCACTTTGGGGTGCCTGTTTTCAGATATGTACAGGAAAAAGCTGAAAAAGTGTCGGGGGGGAATTAAACATACTCAAAGAGAGAAGCTGATGTAAGAGCCCCATGACTGCAGAAAAAAAGTGAATAGTTGTCTTGATGGTGAAGGAACATCACATGAATAAAGTGAAAACTGTGCTCAAACAGAAAAGAGTTATAATGTTTGAATACCCAGCCAAGAAATAATACTATTTTTATGGAGAATTTTAAAGACATTAGTTCCCATGGGATAGAAGGTTGGTTTTTCTAAGTGTAGCTGTGGTGGTGATATAGATATAATAGGGAAAAGTGGAATTGCTAGCTGCTTCTCCATTTAGGAAAAAAATTTAAAGATTTTATTTATTTATAGAGAGAGGGGAAGGGAGGGAGAGAAACATTGATGTGAGAGAGAAATATCAATCAGCTGCCTCTTGTACGTGCCCTGATCAGGGACTGAATCTGCAGTCCAGGCATGTGCCCTGACTTGTAATTGAACCAGCAACCTTTTGCTTTGTGGGATGACATCTAACCAACTGAGCCACACCAGTGAGGGCTCCATTTAGAAAATGTTAAGTGATGCACACATCCTGAGAGAAATTGTATAGCAAGAACTTTCATGTACCATGGCAAAGGTTGCATCTTCCAATGCCCAAGGATGCTGGGAGAATGAAAGAAAATTTTCTTCTGGGAAATTCCAGAACTTTCGGCCAAGATGGAAGCATAGGTAGACACATTGTGCCTCCTCATACAACCAAAATAAATGACAATGACATATTTAAAAACAAAAACAACCAGAACTGCCAGAAAATTGAACTGTACGGAATTCCAACAATCAAGGAGTTAAAGAAAAAACATTCATACAGACTGGTAGGAGGGGCGGAGATGGGCATCCGGGTGGAGAGGACTCGAGGCAAGGAGGCAGCTGGTGGAGTAGGCAGATAAACCTGGAGGAACAACTAGGGAGCAAGACCCAGGGTCCCAGCACAGGGAAAATGAAGCCTCAAAGCCTCTGACTGAAAAAACCTGTGAGAGTTATGGCATCAGGAGAAACTCCCAGCCTCACAGGAGAGTTCGTTGGAGAAACCTACAGGGTCCTAGAACATACACAAGCCCACCCACCTGGGAATCAGCACCAGAAGAGCCCAATTTGCTTGTGGGTAGTGGAGGAAGTGACTAAAAGCTGGCAGAGAGCGGAACAAGCACCACTGTTCCCTCTCAGACCCCTCCCCCACTGACAGCAACACAACATAGCAACTTGGGTTGCCCTGCCCTGGTGAACACCTAAGGCTCCCCCATTTACTACTTAACTGGTTCACCCAGATTTTTTAAAAAAAGAAAAGAAAAGAAAAATGGCCCAAATGAAAGAACAGGTAAAAGCTCCAGAAAAAATACAACTAAGCAATGAAGAGATAGCCAACCTATCAGATGCACAGTTCAAAACATTGGTAATCAGGATGCTCACAAAAATCACTGAGTATGGTCTCAAAATAGAGGAAAAATGAAGGCTATGCTAAGTGAAATTTAAAAAATGTACAGGCAACCAACAGTGATGGAAAGACAACTGGGACTCAATGGTTTGGAGCAGAAGGAAGAAAGAAACATTCAATTGGAACAGAATGAAGAAACAAGAATTCAAAAAAATGAGGAGAGGCCTAGGAACCTCCAGGACAATTTTAACATTCCAACATCTGAATCACAGGAGTGCCAGAAGGAAAAGAAGAGCAAGAAATTAAAAACTTATTTGAAAAAATAATGAAGGAGAAATTGCCCAATCTGTCAAAGGAAACAGACTTCTAGGAAGTCCAGGAAGCTGAGAGGGTCCCAAAGAACTCAGACCCAAGGAAGCACACACCAAGGCACATCATAATTACATTACCCAAGATTAAAGAGGAGAGAATTTTAAAAGCAGCAAGAGGAAAGGAGACAGTTACCTACAAAGGAGTCCCCATAAGACTATCAGCTGATTTCTCAAAAGAAACCTCACAGACAAGAAGGGGATAGAAAGAAGTATTCAAGAGTCATGAAAGGTGCCCTAGCTGGTGTAGCTCAGTGGATTGAGTGTGGGCCTGCGAACCAAAGGATCACAGTTCGATTCCTAGTCAGGGCACATGCCTGGGTTGCAGGCCAGTTCCCAGCAAGGGACACACGAGAGGCAACCATACATTGGTATTTCTCTCCCTCTCTCCTTCCTTTCCCCTCTAAAGATAAATAAATAAAATCTTTTAAAAAAAGTCATGAAAAGTAAGGACCTACATCCAAGATGACTCTATCCAGCAAAGCTACCATTTAGAATGGAAGGGCAGATAAAGTGCTTCCCAGATAATAAGGCCAAGTTAAAGGAGTTCATCGTCACCAAGCCATTATTATAGGAAATGTTAAAGGGACTTATCTAAGAAAAAGATGATAAAAATATGAACAGTAAAATGACAACAAACTCACAACTATTAACAACCGAACCTAAAAAAAAATAGTAACAAAAATGAACTAAGCAAAAAAACTAGAACAGAAACAGAATCAGAAATGGAGATCACATGAAGGATTATCAGTGGGGGAGTGGGAGAAGGATGGGGGGGAAGATACAGGGAATAAGTAGCAAAAAGATACAGGGAATAAGTAGCATAAAAGATACAGGGAATAGGTAGAAAACAGACAAGGAGAGGTTAAGAATAGTATAGAAAATATAGAAGCAAAGGAACTTATATGCAGGACTCATGGACATGAAGTAATGAGGGTGGAAGGGGGTATTCAGGGTGGAGGGGAATAAAGGGGGTAAAATGGGACAACTGTATTAGCATAATCAGTAAAGTATATTTTTACAAAAATTTTCTTCTGGGAAACAGGGATCAAAACTCAAACCTTTCCCCATATGGTGTAACATTATAAGAACCTCTTATAATGATGTTTAGGCTGGTCCCAACTGACATTGGCCAGTAGGGAAAGATACAAAGCACAAGGGAAATTTACCGCGAGGGAGGGGAGGAGAATCTGAACTAGTAAACCGGTATAATATAGTAACACTAAGGGGCGAGTTGGGTGTGGCGGAGCGTGTATCTGTCTATAAGCTTGTCCGGAATGTGAGACAGTGACTAAAACATGAGTTTTAAGCTAAAGTGACTACGGCTTCAGATACTGAAGTATGGAGCTCATCAGACTCAACACATCATTGGAGGGAACAGAAGAGTCCTTCCCTGAAGAACCTCCAAGTACTACATGAGAACCTGAACCAAGAAGAGAGTCCCTGTGGCAATGACCAAGGTATATCAGATGACTCAGGGATATTTGTTAGTTGGAACATTGAGTTCCATCGCTGAGAAAAGTAAAGATAGCCAAACTAGAGCCGCTAATGAATGGCTCAAAAACTTCATAAGGTCTCTCATTTGTTATTTGAAGGACTGGTCCCTCTGATCTCAGGAAACTCAAGGAGTCTTGGAAAATTCAGAGGGATCTTAAAAAGATGTTTTGGACATTCTAAAATGTCCAAAATTGGGAGACTGTAATAACATAAATAATAACTGAATGTTTTAATGTTTGGTGGCAACACTTAAGATGATTTTTTTAAATAATGGATTTATGCCCTGGCTGGCATAGCTCAGTGAATTAAGTGCAGACTGCGAACCAAAGGGTCACTGGTTCGATTCCTAATCGGGGCACATGCCTGGGTTGCGGGCCAGGTCCCCAGTGGGGGCCACATAAGAGACAACCACACACTGATGTTTCTCTCTCTCTCTCTCTCTTTCTTCCTCCCTTCCTCTCTCTAAAAAATAAATAAATCTTTTTTAAAAATAGGGTTACAAAATAAATAACGAATTTAACAAATCTACCTAAGAATTGAAGCAATTTAGTTATGCGATAATATGAATCTTGTTTGGCTGGTGTCAGTGAGAAGAAAAACTGCCAGGAACTGAGAAGAAAATAATAAGAAAAAAGGCAGAGAGCAAAGCTTCAAGGAAACTCCATGGTACACAGGCCTAAAATCAGAGTAGACCCAGATAAAAATAGGGAAGGTGAAAGGAAGCTCTAATTCAGAAAGAAAGAGAAAGCTTTGCATTCTGACTCTCTGAGAAAAAACTGTCTGGTAAGCAGGTGAAGTATGAGTAAACACCAAGGAACTGCAGACTGACCTGAAGATTGACCTCAGAGTCAGCGGGGTAGAATTAAAAGCTTGTATTTCCACAAAACACGATTCCTTGGAGGATAATACCATGGAGAAAATAGATAGTGGAAGATCCATCTCAGGGACAATTCAGCAAAGTGAGAAGGAAGAGACAATGGTGAAAAAATGGTAAAGAAGCACTCAGAATAACCCGATGCAAATGTTGCAATTCAAACTGGTAGGCAAGAATTTAGCCTGATCAAAACTATTCAAATATGCACTGAAAGGTAAGCACTGGTCACTTTAAAGTCAGGAATTTAGATGGAGACATGAAGTCTGTGGCATTTGGCTGCAAGATGTAAACGATGATGCATTAAAGGCCTCAGATCTAGAACATTTCACAGTGAAAGGAGGAAAAGGGAAAGTACTTAGGGTCAGAAGCACCAAGCCCGAGATTTGGAAAGAGGACAGATCTAAAAATGTCTGAATATATAAAAAGAAAAATTTCATATCATGGGGTATTAGGGCTAGAGTGAACCCCATAGGAGAACCTTTCACATGGGCAGATTCATAGAAAGAGGAAATATTAGAATCTCTGAGGTTAAAGAATCTTTGTGGTTTGAAATCTTTCTCCAAAAGGTTCGGATATTTTTCTGTTGCTACTTCCTGCTTAAGAAAGAAGGATCTGGGATCTTTAAGGAGAATTTAAGAATAAATGATTCTTTGAATAGTTCCAAAGTTACCACCAGGAAATTAGGAACTTACTTCTATTGGCTCCTTTCTGCTTGGGTCTTGGTGTTTCACGTGGTGTTCCGCCTTGTCTGGGTCTTTTCCCCTTTCCCACACATGGCTCTTCTCCTTTGTCCAACTTGGAGACCATGTCTGGCTTGGCAGCTTGACACCCTGCCCCTGGGGAATGGTAGACATTGAATGTTAGAACAACAAACATCCCCCAAATCAAGCCCTGACATTTGAGCTTCAGAGCCTTTACAGGATAAGAATACAGAACATATGGATTCTGAGGTTTCACAATGCCCCACCTGAGTAGACCTTCTATTTTGGAGGCAAGGGCAAAGAATTGTGCCTAGTACCCAAAAGGGATTAAAATTCCTTCACTCAAAAACCAAGGCCAAACTGAGGAGGGACTTCAGAGAGAAGGTATCACAGTGGACACATTTTGAATTATGAAGGAATTGCCTTACCCATTGAGGCGAGGTTGCTGGAGTTCTCCAGCATCAAATCCTTGTACAGGCTTTTCTGAGTTGGGTCTAGCTGCTCCCATTCCCTCTGGGTAAAAGCCATAGTCACGTCTTTGAAGGTTACTGATCCCTGTAATAGGATATTCTTGTTCAGTCTGTCATCCATACTCAAGAGTAATTTGGACAGATAAAAACTTGTTCTTACCTTGACCATTCACTGTTAATCAGGATGTTCTATAGGATACCTATTCTATACTCAATTTTGCATTTTTTCTTGAGAAACAAAAATCCTATTAGTCCCTGTTACGGACTGAATGTTTGTGCCTCCTCCAAATTCCTAGGTTGAAACCCGACCCTCCAATATCACAACATGAGGACAGAGGGCCTTTGGGAGGAGATTACGATTAGATAAGGTGGAGTCCTTGAGCCTGGAATAGGTGCCCTTATGAGAATCAGAAAAGAGCTTGCTTCCTCTCTCCACTCTTTGTGCCGGAGAGGACAGAAGTCTGTAACCTGAAAGAGGTGACATATCTCAAATGAGCATCCAGTACTGTCGGTTTCCTATTCTTCTTTCGAAGATGATTATGCCGAACATTCTCCCCTTTCTCTTTGGAATCTTCCACATCTACTCCTTTTCCACTCTCAGCTGATGGATTTCTCTACTTCAAAGACAAAATAAATGCAAATGGACAAGAACGACCTTGCCTCGTTACCATCAATTCCACTATCGCGTTTCCAAACCCACATAATCTATCTTCCCTTGTGTTAAAATGGAAGAACTGTCCCTTGTCTCACGTAAGGCCAGTCTGTCCACTTCCGCTCAGGATCCCATCCTCAACTGCCTTCTCAGAGATTTCACCCCCACAGTCAACCTCATTTCTTTTGTACCATCTACTTTTGCCTTGCTACGGGATCATTCCAACATACCAAGATACCTTCATATCGATCATTGATCTGAAGAAAATCTCTCCCAATCTCATGTCCCATCCAACATTGATTTCTTTTCTCCCTTTGCCAGCAAAACACCAAATGTCATCTAGACTTGCTGTCTCTACGTCATTACCTCCTATTCTTTGCACTCATCCCAACAGAATGTTATGGCTCCACCAAAAGACCTATAATCAATCAGAATAACTGCGGAGCCACATCTTGTCCAGGTCAACTTCTCTGAGGTCACGCGTCTCGGACTCACAAGAGCCTATGACACAACTGATTACTCCCCTTGTCTTCAAAAGATCTCCTCTGGATGCTTCTTTGACACATTTGCAGTTTTTCTCCTACCTTATCTAGGTGGCTACACTTGTTTGTTTCTTTGTTTTTGTTTCCTCCTAATCCTCAAAATGTCAGAGCAAACTCAAAGCCTGTCCTGGTCCCTCTTTTCTTCCATAGCTGCCTTCTCTCCCTAAGTCATCTTATCCACTGTTGGAGTTTTAAATGCCATCTCCATACTGATGTCTTTCAAATGCAGATTCCCTAGCCCAGACCTCTCTTGAGTTCTAGGTTCATATACCTACCTGGGCATCTAGATGCAGCTGGACAGAACCACTGCCATCTATCCTGGCCACCATTCATAGCCACCAAATCTGGTCTCCAACACAACCCGGTTCTCAGAAATGGAATCACCATCTACCCAGTTCCTCAGGCTGGATGTAAATCTTAATTATTTTCTTCCCTCATGTTCCATACCAATTCACCAGTAACTGCTATCCACTCATCTCCAAACGTATTCTGAATGTGACTTTTCATGGCAATGCTACGACCCTTTTCCAAACCATCACCATTGCTCTCTTCTAACCATTGCAATAAACTCTCCCAGCCGACCTTCCTGCACCTCTGCGCACCTGCAGGGACCATCCAGTTTCCAACCAGCAAGGCCACCATACTCGCTGGCTCCTACAGCCACCCCAAATTGCGGACCCCGACACGCCTCCCCAGTACCTGACACACCACAAAGCCCCTTTAATGAGCCCCATAGCCTTCCCAAAGGACCTGTCGGTGACTGCGCCAGACACAATCTGCCCCGCCCCCCCCCCCCCCCCACACACACACACACAGTCACCGCACAACTCCCAAAACACCGGTTCCTTAAACTGCAGCACGAGACCGCACAGAGCCCTCCATCGCTACTCCAGATTTCCCTCAAAACTCTCCCCATCCCCTCCGGCACCCACCGCAATTCCCAAAGCACCTATTTCACAGGCAACCGTAGCGCTCCAATCACTGACCCGCACTTAGACCACCTCTGCCCAGCAGAGCGCCCCCGCCCCGGCGTCGCGCTCACCGCAGTGCTGTCCGCAGGCTCGGACACAGCCATCTCCGGCGACATCCAGCCTTCTCAGTGGTCCCTGCCCTCCTCCTCGGGTCCACGGCCTCTGGCTTTGCCAGGATCTGCTCGCAATCAGAGGTGGACGAGGAGGACAACCCGACAGCGGCCTCAGCGAGTCCTGCAGCAGCGATGGCGGCGCTCCTGCGTCTCGACCATGGGCGCCGCCATCTTGGCCAGGGCTCCTCCGTACAGCGGAGACCCCGGGGCTCCTCCGGGCTCCCAGGCGGGGGCCCCGGGGTTGGTTTCTTAAGGCGCCCTGGACAGGCCACGTGCGAGCGGGCAGAAACCCGGCTAAGTTACTCAGGGCAGAGCGCCTCCCGGCGCCTGGCATCCCGCCCCCCGCTCCGGGAGTTTTCCCTCCCACACACAGATTTTGGAGCTGGGGTTCCCAATCCGCGCAGCCAGCTGCGAGGAAACGGGCCCCCGCAACGCCTAGCGCAGGTCCAGATAGCTAGGATAACAAGCGAAATTGGAGGGAGAAAAAGCCCGATCGGGCAGACGTCATTGTTTCATAGGGAGAGGACACTAACCTCTGAAATACACGACGTCTTTCAATTTATGATACAAGAACAATGGGGGGGAGGGCGGGTGGAATGAAGCTGCAGGTTAAGTGAACACACCACTCCTCACTGAGAACCGGGATTCCGTGGAGATATTTCATCCAAATTATCAAGCTATTGCAGCAGAAACAATTCCTCAATGCACTATTTCACGTATCAACGTCATTTAACAATGACTTCTTGAGCTTTTACTATGTGCAGACTAGGTTGCTGTTCTATGCTGGATAACGGAGAAAAAGTGGAGAGTCAGGTCCACACACTTGTGTTCGCCCGGCTGGAATTTACAGTGGGGCAGAAGCCTGGTGAATATATGATGTTCCTTCTCTGGCCCGCCTGGCTCAGCTGCTTGGGGCTTCGTCCTGTAACCAAGGGCTGCCAGTTCGATTCTGCTCAGGACACATTCCTAGGTTTCTGTTCCATTCCCAGCCCCCAGGAAGTGGTGGGGGATGAGCGAGTAAGCAGTACAAGTTTCTCTGTCCATAAGAAAAGGTGCTGTTCCTTCTTCCTGAAGCAAACACAGCCTGTTCTGCACCTTCCACTTGGGTTATCCCCACTGAGTTATCCCTCAGTCAGGCGCCAGGGGTTGCAGTTGCCTGCCTTCCCTCTCAGTCTTCTGTCTGAACCCCATTCACAGTGCATCTTCTGGAGTCCAGGAGAAAGGTCCCCTAGGCCACCTAATCTCAAGACACTTTCTGCCTAGTTTCTCCAACCTTTTACTGAATTCCTTTTTTCTAACAGAAACGAAAATTGTGTTCGGCCAGCAAATCACAGTGGTGTTTGCCATTTGGCCCTCAAGCAATCCCAGCAATGTTCTGCCCAGTCGTCTAGTATCAACCCTGGGCCCAGCGACATGTGTGACAGGCAATGTGATCATCGAATTCCACATGGTAACCCTGATCTCTGCCCCCTAGTGACACAGTCGTCACACATGACAATTGCTGTTCTACAAATCACTCCTATTGTTGCCATTGATGGGTAAGTCACCTTTGAGACAAACAGCAGCTACAAAGGGCCAGATGTGGAACTGAAGAGGGCCTGGCCTCAGCGCTCCTTCTCCTGTGACCTTTGGCATGTAGACAACCTCTGGGAGCCTGTTTTCTCCATTGTGTTTGGGGCAATATCTACTGAAGACGGCTGGTTAAAGCCAGAAGAAAAGACTGTGTGTTCAACACTCAGTGCAATGACAGGGGTTAAAAAGGGAGAAGTGGGTTTGCTCACAGATTCTATTCAGAAGTGTCAGTGAGACAGGTAGGAGGACTGGTGGTGTGCAAGGACAAGAGAAAACTTGAAGAGTGGGCAGAGCAAAATGAGAGTGTGAGATGTAATGCTCAATACCAGGGTAAAAAGGAATTCCTTTGAAAGGAGAAGCATCAGTTCAGTGTTTTGGCGGCAGGTGGGGGTATAGATTTGCATAAGGGTGTGGTGAAAATACCGCAGGCCAGGATTGGACTGGAAGGAGTGGGCAGTTTACCATGTAAAGGCCTTCTATTCATGTGCATGTGAACTTGCACCATGTGCCTTCCAGGTGCGTCAGTGAACTGAGAATCAAGGACCCGTTGGACAATAGAACATCCCCCAGAGCACCCAGTGTGCTCACTGGAGGTAACGGCTTGATTCTAGATGGGTTTCTACATGTTCACCTTAAAGAAATCCATTGTGTCTTTGACATACAGGCTGTGATGGAAATAAATAAATAGACAAACACTGCTCTGTTTCTTTAAAGAGTTTTATTTTTCATATAAATCAGAAAACTATCTGATGGAAAAAAGGTCCCAATCAATGACAGCCACAGTAATCTGAGCCCCTAGAAGAACTCTTTTCCTCTGTAAGCTGTCCCTACAGGTTGTCTGCTGGAACACTGGCCCCCTGGGGCTCGGGGCTGGGATCCTCTGAGAGCCAGAGGGCTGGACCAGGATGCAGGGAGTTTCCATGGAGAGGTGCATTCAGTGGCACTGTGGTGAGGAAGCTGGTCTCCTGCCGTCCTTGCAAGGGGAGTTGGGAACACGGAATCTGGATTGGCTCTCCCTCGGAAGGGACTGGGTGAGGATGCCTGGAACGAGTTGGCTGTCTAAGGCTGGCTGCTAGCAGGTGAGCCGGGATGCAAAGCCAGGAGGGTGTCCAGCTGGACCAGCGCCCAATGCAGGTTCGCCCCCGTGTGGGCCAGCTGCCAGCTGAGCCAGGCGCGCTGGGAGGCATCGATCTGCGTGCCACTGGTGGCCACTGGTAGGAAGGCTCCCCCGGGAACCCGCAGCTCATCCAGGGCCACCTCCAGAGCACCTACTCGATTGAAGAGACTGGACATCAATGATTCCAGAGGCTCGGGGGCTTCTGGAGGTAGGTGTTGGCGGCGACGCTTCGGAGAGCCTGGTGTGCACGCTGGGCTGTCCTGGCAGCATTTGGGATCAGTGGTCTTCCCTGGACTTCTGGGTGCCTTCCTCTTGAGGTTGAGTGTCGAGGGAGGGTGGGCCGAACCTGCGTGGGAAACAAAACACAAAGTGTTTCAGTGAGTGTGAGTGGCCTGGCCAAACTCACCAGGGCCCCATCCCAGGGCAGACTCCCCCACCTCCCACTCCCCACCAAGCCTGACTGGTGGCCCTGCCACAGTCTGATGGGAACCACGACCAAGTCCGGTACCTCCGTCTTCCAGCCCCTTAGAGATTTAGGGGCATCTCCCCAGGGTCAGTGTCTTCCCCCAACCCCACCCCCCATCCCCTGAGACTTGGTGTGCCCCTCAGGGCAGGTGTCCACACCCCCATCTCTGCAGAGAAACAGCCCAGGACCTACCTGGCCTGTCCCGATGGCCTGCTCTGGTGGAGTGGGGCTTGTCCTCTCTGCGCCCTTGGGGGTGGCATAGCCTTGCCCTCGCCTTCCCTTCCGGGTGTCCGTTTCCTTTGTGGCGACTGTGAGGGGAACCATCAGGGCTTCTCTGCCGACTGTGCCTGGAGATCTTAGCCACTCGGCCCTGCCTGCTGACCCCTGTGGGTGCACAGGTGGAGCGCAGTGAGTGAGTGGTCCCAGACCCATCTCTAAAAGTCTGGAGGAGAGTGGATGAATGGAAGAGCCCCACCGCAATGGCTGATTTCTCCGGATGCCCACTGCCTCCCTGCTCCCTGGGCACCTGCCCAGGACCCGGCCTTTCCCATCACTCTCCATGTACCTCAGCTGCCTGGCATGCCTGCTCCAGGAAACCCTGCCTCAAGCCCAGACCCAAAGGTCGCTCAGCTGCTGAAGCCCACAACAGAAAGGCATCCAGGTTCCCCTGACTCCTTCCACTACGAAGGGCAAACCTTCTGCTTTTTGCTGCTTTGCCCACCCCATAACCTTCACACACACAGACTCAGACGCACAAGGGAGACACACAGAGAGACTTTAGACCCCTACCTCCTTTGCTGCGGGAGCTTTCTTCAGTGTCTGCGATCTTCTCTCTCCAGCTCTCACGGTGATGCCCATTTTCTCCTTTTGCTCCATTGCATTGCTGTCCCTTGGAGGTAATCTCACATTCCCTGGGGGAGCCACCTGGTTTTTCTGGGTGCTCCTGGCCAGGTCTCCTGCCACTTGTCACCCCTTCCATCTCAGCCACGTATCCCACCTGAGCTAGGCTACACGTCTGGAGGCCTGAGGAGTCAATTAGGCAATGACCAGGCAGACAAGATGCCTGGCTTTATATATCTGTGGGTCCCCTGCTGAGCCATACCATCATTGCAGGGGTGGGGGTGGAGGGGAGACTGAGCCTAAAGCCCAGGGTGTGGCTTGATCGGATTAAGCGCTTGTGGAGTCTTTAGCCCAATCTCTGGGTCCCTCTGACTCTCCACCTGCTGATTTCTGAGCATTTCCCCTGCCTGGCAGCAAGCACAGGCAACCAGTTCTGTGCTGTGTGTTGATCTCAAAGAAAGTGCAATCTCTGTGTTTTGTGTCCCCTTGCTCTTTCAGCATGGCACACTCCACGTTCGCCCAGGGGCAGCAAAGCGCTGGTGGAAAAGCCTGAAAATCAAACTCTTGACTTTTTGGGTGTGGGTTCTCTGTGGCCATTCCTCAGTTCTGCCGTCACAGCAGGAGAGCCACGGAAGAGTCTTTGGAATAAAGAGTGAGATTAGGCTCCCAGTTAATGTTTTCTTCAAAATATTAACCCCTGGGCAACAGGGTTCTGCCCCGAGCACCAGGTCAGTGTGGAATTTGTTGTTCGAACCGTCTGCATCTTATCTGCCCTTCACTCATCCCCATCTCACCAGATTGCCATGGGCTCGTGGAGATCCTGCCAGGCTGTGCCGTCCTCAGAAGGCTTCTGCCTTCTTTGCTGACGAGGGAAACTGAGAGGACACAGGTCTAGAAGGAACAATTCCAACATTGTAAGATAAAGGGTAAGGTCAAATCCGCAGGTCCTAAGGCTGTCATCTCTCACCAGACAGGAAACAGGTGTATAAGAAGCTCCATCTTGGAGGATTTGTAATCTCTTCAGGGGAAAGGTCACAGATAAGAAACCACTTTTGGCTAAATGGAGGCACAGCCTGGACCATTTCCTCCAGGTCC